CTGGGTGAAGAACTTCCACCACCAGATCCAGGATCAACGAGAACAGGGGTTCGTGGTAGACTTACTTGTCTATGCAGGCGTCAAGCAGTGAGGATGTTTTTCCTTACCGGGATAGAGGCATTAACTCGAGTTGGCTACACCTTCACACAATCATGCCCAAGGAGCTCTTCAAGCAGCCACTCCTTGGTCTCCAAGCAGCTTGTCGTCTCTTGTTGTTGCTTGATGGAATTGGAATGCCGCGTCCTCTAGCTCCTTGAATCAGCACCTCTTGAACAGCCTCTTTGAGCTTACCTGCCCAATAAAAAAGAAATGAGCTAGCAGACAAGACACACAATCTCAATAGAGATCTTTTTTTATTGGAATTTGGAAACAGGAGGGGCTACCCCTTACTGAAACTGTGTAACGAGTAAAAGCACAGTACAAGGTACAGAGGTAAACCAGAAGAAAATGTGTAAAGAAAGAAAGAGAATCATGAAAATTACACAAAAGCTCTAGCCTTTGATCAATAACACGAGAGTAATTTTTCTTTGCTCATGGATAACCAGAGCAAATTCTTGCTTGAAAATCTCTTTGCACATCTGTGATGTGAGCTGAATAGCCTTGAAGATTAAATTATTACAAACTGACCAAATACTCCAACACCAAATTGCACCAACATTTTCCTGCTCACCCTTGTTAGCAAATCTGGTTTCCATCCCCCACACGGAAGCTTACCAAGGCTGAAGATCAGCAATCTGATCAATAATAGGTCGAACTTCAGCCTTGGTAAGCTTCATCCAAGACTTCAAGTTTCAAATATTCATCCTTAAGGTGCTTCTATATCATTTTGTTTCTCCCCTTTCTAACTTTCCCCTATCCATTTAGAAACTTGTTTACTCAGGTATCTTAATTACCCATTTATCAGTTGCATTCTTAGCTGTGATATGATCTCCCTAGATTTCAACAAACTCACTGTGAATGCCAACGTTTTTTATCAAGGCAGTTTCAAAAGGAAAAGATTTTGACTACTTTTGTGTATCCACATCACATTTATACGGTAAAGGGTTATGATAAGACATTATTTTTTAAAGATAGATAGAGGAAAGCATTTCCCCACTCTTCACTAGTGAAGAAACCCTCATCCGTGTCGGTTATCAGTGTTAGTCGCTGAATTCTTACTCTTGGTAGTAGCAGAGTTCTTACTCTCATTGAGACAGGATGACACTAGGAGTTAGGGCAATTTTCTGATTTATTTCTCACACAAATGCCATGCCAACCTGAGGGGTTGGAGATACATATTTATAGGCTGCCAGCCAGCCAAGCATATGCCAAGATGCTGTCCTAGATGCTAAAACAAATGCTGTCCTAGATACTCTGTCCTATATGCTAAGATGCTGTCCTAGCCAGTCAAGGATGCTGTCTTTGATGGGCAGCAAGACCACCATGCAGCCACAAGGACCATATGTTGCAGCCCCACAAAGACCAGTCAACATAGAGACTTATCCCATCATTCTCCCCCTAAGTCTTGTGCGTCGTCTTGTGGGAAAGTTGAACCATCCCGGTCCTGGAGCAGAGCTCAAGGAACTTGATCCTCCCAAGAGGCTTGGTAAACAGGTCCGCAAGCTGGTCCTTGGTGTTGATGTAGCTTGCCTTGATGCTCCCTTCCTCCAAACAGCCTCGGATGAAGTGGTACCTCACCTGGATGTGCTTACTCCGTTCATGAAAAACGGGGTTCTTTGCCAGGGCCAGAGCGGACTTGCTGTCTATCCTGAGCTCCACCGCTCTAGTGTCTCTGCCGAGGAGATCACCAAGCAGTCGAGCGAGCCAGAGTGCCTGAGTCGAAGCGGTGGAGGCCGCTATGTACTTAGCCTCGCAGCTGGACAGGGCCACCACCTGCTGCTTGACCGACTGCCAGCTAACGAGGCACTTGCCGAGGAAGAAGAGGATCCCGCTCGTGCTCTTGCTGGTGTCGATGTCGCCATGGCGTGGTCGCCGTGTCGTTGTACCCGACAAAAGTGTGCCGCCCAGGGCACCTAGGGTAGTAGAGGCCGTGGTCGAGAGTCCCATAACGTGGCGGATGATCCTCTTCACACCCTGCTTTGGTGCTCGTCGTCGGTCATTGCATGAACCGACTAACGTAGCCGACGGAGAATGCCTAGTCCCGGCCGTGTGTGGGCGAGGTAGCGAAGGCTCCCCACAAGACGCCGGATGCTGCGTGGCGCCCACCTCCTCCGTCGTCTTTGTCATGCTCGCTCGACTTTCAAATTTCTCCTCCATCGGAGTGAGAGCTGGGTTGCGATCGGTGAGCCCAGCTACCTCAACGACGTGCTTGGCGTAGGCGGTCTGTCGAAGCGTGATCCCGGAGTCATCCTGGTGCACCTCGATTCCCAGGTAGAAGGAGAGAGGCCCAAGGTCACTCATCTGGAAGGTGGCCTTCATCTCTTCCTTGAATGTCGTCACCTCCGCATCCTTGGTGCCGGTGATCACCAAGTCGTCGACGTAGACACCCACCAGCAGAGCATTTCCTCCACTTTGCCCGTCGGTAGATGGTCACCTCGTCGGGGCTTTGCTCAAGCCCATCCTCTTTAGCATGGAATCCAACTTGGCATTCCACGCCCTCGGTGCTGCGCCAAGCCATAGAGGGCCTTGCGCAGCCGGAGCACTTTGCCCTCCTTGCCGGGGATCGCAAATCCCGGCGGCTGGTGCACGTAGACCTCCTCCTTCAAGTCACCGTTAAGGAACGCCGACTTGGCGTCCATGTGATGAACACGCCAGCCCTCCCGGCAGCTAAGCGCAAGAGTCGTCGACGGACTCCATCCGTGCCCGCGGGGAGCAAAGGCGTCGTCGGTCGACCCCTCCTGCTGCCGCGAAACCTCGTGCCTGGCGAGCCTTGTGCTTGACGATGGCGCCGGCTTCATCCCTCTTCAGCTTGTACACCCACTTAAGGGTGATCGCGCGGTGACCACGAGGAAGGTCAGCAAGCTCCCAGGTGCGGTTCTTCTCAACCGCATCCATCTCCAACTGCATCGCGGCGCGCCATGCCGCGTGTCTCTCGGCCTCTGCAAACGACCGAGGCTCGCCGTCGTCACACGCAAGGTGCAACTGCGCCTCCAGGTCGTGAGGCACCGGTCCCGGCACCGGCTGGTCGCCGAGAAGGTTCTCCATCGTACGGTACCGCAACGGCTCGCCGTCGTGGTACGCGTCGATGCGCTCCTCGTCGTGAGAGAGCGGAGTAGCGAGCTCAACCGGGCTGTGCTCGACACGAGCTGGTGTTGGAGTAGACGTGTCCGGAGAGGTGCCTGTCGGTGCTGGAGTGCGTGGCGGTGCCGGCTGTGGTGGAGCCGGCGAAGAACTCATCGTAGCCGAGGTCCTGGCTGGAGAACGTGGTGTTGTCGAAGTAGCAGCGCCGGGTCGGTGGAGGCTCGGGGACGGGTACGCGCTTGTCGAAGAAGAGCCGCCTACTCCCCGGCTCCTCGGTGGGCGTACTTCGACAAAGAAAGTCGTCGACGCGTCGGAGCCGAGCCGTCGTCCACCGCTTTGTCCCACGCCATCATCGCTTTTTCGTCGAACACAACGCCGCGCGCGCGCGCGCATACGCTTGTGTCTTGGTCGAGGATGCGGTAGGCCTTCGAGCCCTCCGCGTAGCCGATGAACACTCCCGGTGCTCCCAATCCGTCGAGCTTGGCGATGTGGCTAAGCTCCTTGGCGAACGCGAGGCGACGAAGACCCGCAAGTGGGAGACCACGGCTTGCGCCCATGTCAAGCCTCGTCTCGACGGCCCCTGCCGTCGAGCGCGCTTTGGTAGGCGAAAGCGATTGAGGATGTAAACGACCGACACCACCGCCTCTCCCGTAAGATGCAGACGACATCCCCTCGCTTGAGAAGGGCCCGAGCCATCTCCACAACCGTCGTGCGCCCGCTCGACGATGTCGCTCGCTGCGGGATGTACGGCAGCGAGTGTAGTGGCGCCGAATGCCCTCATCGGTTGCTTGATGACGCCGAATTCAGCCACCGTGAATTCGCCGCCGTTGTCGGTCTTGCAACCGCGCGCAGCGGCTGACGACTCGCCTCGCCTCGCAGCGACTCTGCGGCGCTGATGGCGTCCGCAGCCTCTCCCTTGTCGCCGAGGACCATCACCCACATGTAGCGGGAGAGGTCGTCGACGAAAGCGGCAGGAAGTAGCGTCGTCCTCCCGTGTGTGGCTGGTGTCACCGGGCCACACAAGTCCCCGTGCACAAGCTCGAACCTCTCCTTGGCTCGAAGCTCGCCTGGCACTGGGAAAGGGGTCGCCTCGCTTCGTCAACACGCAGACGCCACAGCCGCTCCACATGGTGGAGGCACGGCGAGCCTCGCACCATCTCCATGGCACCGAGCCGCCTGGGCCTCGGTGAAGGTGCCCGGCGCTGCGTGCCCTCGCCACGCCTCGTCATCCCGACGAAAGCGGCGAGAGACAGAGGGGTTGTGCCACCTGCACGTTAAGGACGTAGAGTCAATTTGCGCTTCTGGTTACCTTGGCAAGAAGGCGACGACGGCGATCCCAAATCCTCATGACTCCATCCTCAACCACCACACGCGAACCGTTCTCATCCAGCTGTTCCAAGCTGATGATAGAGTTCCTCAACGTGGGGATGTAGTAGACTCCGGTGAGCAGCCTGTGCTCACCAGACACGGCGGTGAAGATGACGGAGCCGACGCCCTTGATCTCCACGCCGGAGGCATCCCCAAACTTGACGGAGCCTCGGACGCTAGAGTCAAGCTCGGTGAAAAACTCCCGTCAACCGGTCATGTAATGGGTGGCGCCGGTGTCGAGGCACCACCCGTCAGTCTTGTCGTTGCCGGAGCCATCGCTGAGGAGGGCGTGTGCTTTTGGCTCGTCAAGGTAGAGGAGAGCCGCTGCGGCCAATGCCGCTGGAGGTAGATCGATGCTTGCATGTGCCATGAACAGAGCCGGCTCCTCGTCCACCTGTGCACTGTGCAACGTGGGCCTGGCCGCGTCGTGACTGTCGATAGTCCTTGGCCCTATGGCCAAGCTGGCCGCAGTTGCGGCAGATGTCGTCTCGTGCCGGCTTGTGCTTGCCGGCGACGCCGCCCTGGGCGCCTCTGCGGGCATCACCCTCGGCACGTCCTTGCGCCCCGGCCTGGGCGCCTCTGCGCGGCTTGCCACGCTTGCGGCCGCCGGTCGCGGAAGAAGGCTCCCCCTTCTTCCGGTCACCTTGGCAGGCAACCCACTGCTCCCGAGTGAGAAGAAGCTTCCCGCCAGTGGTGATGGGCCCCGAGAGAGACTGTGGCTCATCGCTGTCGACGACCTTGAGGCGACCTATCGTCTCCTCAATCGACATCATGGAGAAAACCAGCAGGGACTCGATCGAGCAAGCCATCTGCTTGTATTTCTCGGGGACGCAGTGGAAGAGCTTTTCGACAGCTCTATCCTCGCCGTAGGTGTCATCGCCGAACTGCACCATCTTCTGCAACAGAGTGTTGAGACGGATAGCAAAGTCATCAACGTCCTCACCTGGCTTGAAGGCCAGGTTCTCCCACTCCTTGCGAAGTGCCTGCAGTGTGGACTTGCGGACGCGGTCGCTGCCGATGCGTGCCGCAGCGATGGCGTCCCAAGCCTCCTTGGCAGTCCGCTTGTTTATAAGCGAGAACTGCATCTCGGACAGGACTGCAGCGATGAGGGCATCCAGCGTCCGTCGATCCTGGTCGTAGTCGACGTCGCCGTACTGAACTGTCTCCCACATGTGCCACACCTGGAGCTTTACCCTCATCACCGCAGCCCACTCGACGTAGTTGGTCTTAGTGAGGGTAGGCCACCCACCGCCGGAGCCGACGTCCCTGACAACAGCCTGAAGCCCGTGGTAACCACGGTACCGATCCGGGGAGAGAGCCACGCTGTCTATGAAGACCGCGCTCTCCATCGACCCGTCCGCCACCGTTGCCGTGCGCCTCCTCCAGGAGCGCCGCCAGCGCGTCCGCGCCTGTCTGGGCTGCCGCCGCGCTCGTGGGCGTGCACGGCTGCCCACTGCGCCGCCCGCGCTCGCGCTGCCTCCCTCCCTAGCATCTCGAGGTCTGCGTCGGCGCTGTCGTCAGCAGAAATGGAGCTGCTGATGCTGCCGCGCAGAACCTCGACCTCCGTTGCCGCCGCACGTGTTGCATCCGCCGTCGCCTCCGCTCTAGCTGCTGCTAGCTCCGCCGCTACCAGCCTCGACGCCCTTGCCGCCGCCGCAGCGGTCTCTGTCGTCGCTCGCTCGCGTTCCTCTGCCGCGGCAAGTTCGGCCTCCTGCCGACGTCGCGTGCTCGAGGCGACCGAGCGCTGAGACTGTCCTGCGGACATGACGCGCTACCAAGGGGCTGCTGCGTGGGGAGAGGGCTGCTTCAGCTGCTCGTCTGCGCAGAGGGAGAGGAGCAGGAGCGGCCGGAGCTGCTGCTGCCCCCAGTTGGGGCTATTGCGAGGCTGGGAAAGGAGATGAGCAGGAGATGCTCAGGCTACAGGATAGTACCGCTCTGATACCAGTTGTTAGTCGCAGAATTCTTACTCTTGGTAGTAGCAGAATTCTTACTCTCATCGAGAAAGGATGACACTAGGAGTTGGAGCAATTTTCTGGTTTATTTCTCACACAAATGTCATACCAACCTGAGGGGTTGAGGATACATATTTATAGGCTGCTAGCCAGCCAAGCATATGCCAAGATGCTGTCCTAGATGCTGTTCTAGATGCTAAAACAGATGTTGTCCTAGATGCTCTAACCTAGATGCTAAGATGCTGTCCTAGCCAGTCAAGGATGCTGTCCTTGATGGGCAGCAAGACCACCATGCAGCCACAAGGACCATATGCTGCAGCCCCACAAAGACCAGCCAACACAGAGACTTATCCCATCAATCAGAGCCCATACTTAAGAATGAGGCACATATAAGTGGTGTATTGGTGCCGGTGCGGAAACCAGGACAGATCTTGAAGTATTTTATGCCGACTGTGGTTGGGTGCCGGTTCAGATAATTACTTTATCCATGCTGCCATTTGTTACAAGGCAGTGACATTAGCAAATCACTAATCACATTAATTGTGTGAGGAGTGAAAGCAAAACTTTTCTCAATAAATGTAGACACCAGAACATTAACATTCTTAGAAAACATAAAATCTGAAGAAAATAATGGCACATGATATTGTGAAATATAAAACTACAATTTGACACTAAAGGCTTCAAAAGTAGATTAACCAGACAATGCTAAATGCTGTATTAACCTCTATTTATGCTACCTTCAAAGCCGCTAGCATAAAGTTCTTCCTTCAAACCCTAAACCCCAATTGCTTCTATACTGAGGCAATGACTGATGCACACCACTGAATATGTTTACTGCTTTGACAGCAGTTTGTTCAATCATAGTAAACTCACAAATTGTTCCATGCTTTGCAGTGTCATCTATGTTTTCTATTCTTCTGCTGTTTCTCTTGGCATATGTGCTCCAAATGGTACCCAGCGCATCAGCAATAGCAGTTAACAAAAATCCTGATGAGGGAACCAGCAGCAGGGAGTCCTGGCTGCATGGAACACAACTACTAAGTTCTGCCACTGGCCAGGTGTCAGTTGCAGCCTTAAGCATAAGGACAGGGTGACAGTTCTAAACCTCACCTCGCAGGGCCTTTCTGGCACAATCACCCCTTCCATTGGCAACCTCACGTTCTTAAGAATTCTGGATCTCAGCTCCAACAAGTTGCAGGGTGAAATTCCAGTATCAATTGGCCAGCTGCCTCGGTTGCAGCATCTCAATTTGTCTAACAACTTGCTGCAAGGTGAGATAGCCACCCAGTTAAAGAATTGCACCAGTCTTGAAAGGATCGAACTTGACTCGAACTTTTTCACGGGAGAAATCCTTGCCTGGCTTGGAGGCTTACCACTCAAGGCCATACACTTGAGAAAAAACAACTTCACTGGAGTAATTCCAGAATCCCTTGGCAACCTCTCATCCCTGCAAGAAATAAATTTTGCCAGGAACGAACTTGAGGGTACAATACCTGAGGGCCTGGGTGGGCTGAATAGTCTCATGTTCGTGGATCTGGGCGAAAACCATTTCTCAGGAATTATTCCTAAAACATTCTTCAACATTTCCTCACTTATACACTTCAGAGTGACCAATAATGAGCTGCATGGCATGCTTCCCTCAGACTTGGGGGTTCACCTACCGAATCTCAAGTACCTGCGCCTTGGCATCAACCACTTTACAGGAAGCCTTCCGGCCTCTCTTGCCAATGCAACAGAAATATATTCTCTAGATATCTCCTTTAATAATTTCACCGGCAGTGTGCCTCCTGAGATTGGAAAGCTTTGCCCAGACTTCCTCTCCTTCGACACAAATCAGCTCACTGCGACAACTGCACAAGAATGGAAGTTTGTAACGTTCCTGACAAACTGCACACGGCTTCGTATATTTGACGTCCAAGACAACATGCTAGGTGCCATGCTACCGAGCTCTGTTTCAAACCTATCAGCACAACTCCAGGTTCTTTACGTTGGATACAATGAGATTTCTGGAAAGATACCATCTGGCATCAGCAATCTTGTTGGGTTAACTCAGCTGCAGTTATCCAACAACCGATTTACTGGGCTCGTGCCTGGAAGCATTGGAATGCTAACTTCGCTGCAAGCATTGGGGTTCGAAGGTAACCAGTTGACAGGGTTATTGCCTTCCTCCCTCGGGAACTTGACACAGCTACTAAATCTTTACACAGAGAATAACATGTTTGAGGGCCCTATTCCTACAAGCCTAGGAAGCCTCCAGGACATAACTATGGCTACATTCAATAACAATAAGTTCACAGGTCCATTGCCAACACATGTCTTCAACTTATCGTCCCTGTCAGTTCTTCTGAATTTGGCATACAATAACTTCGTTGGCCCTCTTCCACCTGAAGTTGGAAGTCTGACAAAGCTTGCAAACTTGTACATCGCTGGGAACAATTTAGTTGGTTCACTACCAGATGCTATCAGCAATTGCCAGAGCTTGATAGACCTTCGGTTGGACACTAACTCCTTCAATGGTAGCATCCCAGCATCTATCAGCAAAATGAAAGGTTTGGCAATCTTAAATTTGGATAATAACGCACTTTCAGGTGCGATTCCACAAGAATTGGGTCTCATGGATGGGTTGAAAGAATTGTATCTTTCACGCAACAACTTGTCTGGGAGTATACCAGAAAGCTTCGAAAACATGACATCGTTGGACAAACTAGACCTCTCCTTCAACCATCTGGATGGTAAAGTTCCATTGCATGGAGTGTTTAGTAATGTGACTGGGTTTCTGTTTGATGGCAATCTTGCGCTCTGTGGTGGTATCCCAGAATTACACTTGCCCATGCCTGCAAAATTCCAAGGAGCACAGAAAAAGGAAACTTGTACCCATCTTGAAACTAATAGTACCAATTGCTGGCATCCTTTTTTGTTTCAGTTTGATACTTATTTCCATCTCATTAAAGAAGAAACAAAAAGCTCAGTCTACATCATTGGCAGAGTTCTGTCTGATGGATGACAAATATCCCAGAGTTTCTTATGATGAATTGCTCCAAGGAACAAATGGATTCAATACTAACAATCTGATTGGCAAAGGAAGGTATGGATCAGTGTATAAGTGCAGCTTGCCACTCAAAAATACGATTACTACAGTTGCTGTGAAGGTTTTTGATCTTCAACAATCTGGCTCTTCCAAAAGCTTCATATCTGAGTGTGAGGCACTTAATAAGATCCGTCATCGTAACTTGATCAGTGTCATAACTTGCTGCTCCAGTTCTGACTCGACCCAAAATGACTTCAAAGCACTTGTGTTTGAGTTTATGCCAAATGGAAGTTTACATAGATGGTTACATCTAGATGAGCATACATCACAGCAATGGCATGGTCTGACATTGGCACAAAGGCTGAATATTGCTGTTGATGTTGCTGATGCCCTAGAGTATTTGCACAACAGCTGTGAACCACCAATAGTTCACTGTGACTTGAAGCCAAGCAATATTCTTCTTGATCAGGAATTGGTTGCTCATGTTGGGGATTTCGGCCTTGCAAAAGTTCTTCCTAATCCAGCAAGTGAGCAACAGGTTGACTCAAATAGCACTATGGGTATAAGAGGAACAATTGGATATGTCGCTCCAGGTAAATCAAAGTTTTATCCTTAAGTTTGTGTGTTATATCACTATTGTTTGCATATGCAATATAGAATTAGGGAATCACTATTGTTTCTCCATACAAATGTAGAATATGGAGAAGGTGGTCAAATTTCTACATGTGGTGATGTATATAGCTTTGGAATTGTCCTCCTCGAGTTGTTTACAGGCTTGACACCTACTGAAGACATGTTCAGAGATGGGTTAACCTTGCAAAAGCATGCTGAGAATGCATTTCCAGGAATGCTGATGAATATTGTTGATCCCATCCTAGTCTCTGATGAAGAAGCTCATGCATGTACTTCACAGGGTGTAAAAAATGCAATGGGAGATATCAACAAGGTCATGTTATCTATCACAAAACTTGCACTATCATGTAGCAAACATGCACCAATAGAAAGAATCAGCATGAGGGATGCAGCAGCTGAGATGCACAAGATAAGGGACAACATCGTATAAGGTAACTAAAAGAAGTTATTATGCAGTGGTATACATTAGGCTCAGGAATGGTTTGCAATATATAGACAATCAGTTCAAATGGTTACCTTTTCAGCTTTGCAGAAATATTGGCTCCCAATAATAATATTTTCTTGAATGTACGAAATATATATTTACACCTACAACCATATCAAAAGCAAACTTGAGTGCACTGTATCACCTTATTAAACTCCAATAGTGTAAATCCGACTCTTGTTGGCTTGGTGATTGTATGAATAAGCAGGGAAAATATTGTGGTACTGATGTTATGTGTATGCAATATAAGATGGGTGTTTATTCCGTGATAGCCATTACTCACTGAACTGCAGCGCCACTTCAAGAGGCACCACCACCTCACCTTTGATTCCTTGTCTCTGTTGCCCTTACTCAACTATTTGACAACCTATTCTGTTTCGACCCCATTAGTTGAGTGAAGTTCTCATAATTCTGGTGTAATCGAGTTCTCAAATGGTGAGATTGAGACACCAGATTCAGATGAAAATTCGACTGCCTGAAGAAACAACGAAAATAACAGGACTCAGCACTGAACATTGGGAAGTACTGCACATCATTCAGCCCAACTCTAGCACTCTAGTGCCATCAGATTGCAAGGGCAGAAGAACTGGCTCACTCGCGCAGATGCGGCGAAGCTGAAGCGGCTACGGAGGTGGGGCCGGCGGTGGCCCGGCATCTGCTTCGGCAGCGCGGCGCCGCGTGCACGGATGCGGAGCGGAGCCGGACCGCGCGAGCAAGCGGTGCGGACTGCTGCTGCGGCGGGCGGCGGGCAGAGGAGGGGCAGATGTGCCTGGGCGTAGGCGCGTAGGAGTTCGGCGCGACGGCGACGAGCGAGCAAGAGGACGGCCGTGGAGTTTGGGGGCTGTGTATGCTCCGTCGGATGAGAATCTGTTGGCAGGTTAAGGACTCAACAAGTGCACATCTCGCGCTTTGACGAGTCAAATAAGTTTAAATTTGACTAAATTATACAAAAAAATACTAAGATTTATAATATCAAATAATCATTATCAGATCAATCACATTATATATTTTTATACAAATGTTGTTTAGAGATACAGATGTTAGTCAAATTTGGGATTTTTTTGACTCCTCGAAATACGATATGTACACTTATTTTGGAACAAATGGAATACTTTGATTCCCTTGCTAGCGAAGGAGAGGCGGATTGGCCTGTCCACGTGCGCAAGGTTATATCTAGTTTGATAGACGAGGCTGGCTAGCTGAGGCAGGATCGACAAAGAGGGCGCTTGATTGTTGGTCAACCCAAACCATGCCACCCCCAAGCGAGTCAATGTGGCTAGCTCATCTCAGCAAGAAAAATCTTTGCCAACACAGACCTCGAGGTAAGCTAGCTGAGAATCCAAACACGTTGCTCGTTCTAACTTATAGCTTGGCAAGGTAACACAATGTCCGGCAAAGTTGTCAAATATCCCCAAACGGATCCAAGTGTTCCCTAGTTGGTCAATGAGAGTGAAGACTTAGCATGTTTAGCCAAGAGGAGGGCTAGGGTTGCGGCTGCCCTAGCCAAGCATAGCAAGGGCGCACCGTAGGGGTGGCAGCCTTGCCTTATATAATGGTCCCACGAAACCGACTGCTGATAGGACCATGATGTCTAAGAAAGAAGAGCAACTTTAAACTAAAACTAAAGGCTCTTAACAAAACTTACTCATCAAAATCTATGCACCTCTTAACAAAACCTACCTATCAAAACAAATACAAGATATCTATCTAGATGTCCACTACGATTTTGCTAAGTGTTATTATCTCTAACGCAAATGAGTTATATGCAATCTAGGCAACCTATCAACTAACATATATTCTCTTCATTCCAAATTATAAGATGTATTGGATTTTTTAGACAAATTGCTTTAACTACGTATCTAGACATAGTGTATATCAAGGTGCATAGGAAACCCTATGTATCTAAAAAAGCCAAAACGCCTTATCATTTAGAATGGAGGGAGTAACAAACTAGACTAGGAAAGATAAGCACCTAGAAAAACAAGTAATGCACGTAAAAGGCTAGAGATTGCAAACTTCCACGTAAGATTTTGACTCCAACCAAAAAACGACTTCAAAGCCCTAGTGTTTGGGTTTATGCCAAATGGGAGTCTAGATAGATGGAGCAACATTTGACATTGGAGCAAAGATTGTGCATCACAGAAACAACATTTGACATTGGAGCAAAGATTGAGCATTGTCGTTGATGTTGCTGATGCACTAGATTATCTTCACGATGACTACGAATTCATTGCGACTTGAAGCCTGTTAAGTGCACGAAGGTCCACCTACTATAGGCCCATATGGCCCATGACTCTCCTATATGTATATTCAACTTTCTTTCGCTAGAATGTTCATATCCCCGGATCCTCGTGTTAGTAACATGATACCAAAGCAAGGATTAGAGTTAGGATTAGACTAGTTAATCCACCCAAGATCCATTTTTCATGGGGATTTCTTGCCTCTCTTAAATCAGCCTTCGTCGTGACTTCCTCGCTTGCCGCCCGTCGCGGCATCGTTGTCACCTTTGCGTTTCACCATTGATCACGGCCTCTCTTTGTATTGGGTGGACAAGATCGTCAGCCAGCCGATTCCACCTGCTCCTCAGCAACATTATTCTTCTTAATCAGGAGTTGGTTGCTCATGTTGGAGATTTTGGGCTTGCAAAGATTTTGCTTCATTCAGAAAGTGATAAACCGATTAACCCAAACAGCACTATTGGGATAAGTGGAACAATAGGATATGTCGTTCACTCGCTCCAAGTAACTCAAATCTAAACATTTTGGTTCAGAAAAAATATAAGAATTTGTTAATTAATGATGTTTGTCTACGTATGTAAATGTAGAATATATACGGGGAAGGTGGTGAGGTTTCTCCATGTGGGGATGCATACACAGCTTCGGAATTGGGTCATCCATGAGCTATTTACAGGCATGGTGACAGTCGTGGCACCAACTCATGGCATGTTCACAGATGGGCTGACGACGTTGCAGAAGCATGCTAAGAATGCACTTCCAGGGAACCTACTGAAGATCGTTGATCCAGTTCTACTCTGTGAAGAAAAAAAATAGGGACCATATTGTGGTACTAATGATATTTGCACATGAATCAGAGGTTACATACTCATAGGCTGCGGTGGCGCTCCACAAGTGGCTAAGAGGCCACTATCTCACCATGAGTCTTGTTTTCAGTTTCCGTCCTGGCTTCCTCAACGCATACCGACTGCTCTGTTTTCACCTGTGCCGGAAGAACAGGACAGTGTTAATAACAAGCAGAGCCGCAGAGGGGACAGAGCAAACATGAGAGATGGAAGGTGGCACGTGCAATCACACAACGAGAAATCTAGAAACCTATTTTCTTCGTATGTGCACATTACATTCTCTGCATCACATGCTATCGCATTGATCGCGGTCCCTAAATCCCCTGGAAGCTGGAACCACACGTCATTTGCTGCACTTCAACCTTGCACAAAATCAAGCGCCACGGGGAGTGGCCCGTTCTAAATTTCGAAAAGAAACAGAGAAGTTTCCGTCGGTGATGCGTCGGGCCAGCAGGGTCTGCTTCTGCAATCTGAGCGAGCGGGTAGTTCGGTAGGTGTCGGCGCAAGCTGTTGGTGCAGCGTCGCAGGGAGCAGAGCACGGTCGCCCCGCCTGGTGGTGGTGGAGTTCCCGGCGACCGACCGGCCGACGGGGACCCTCTCGGTCCAGGATTCTCTGCGGCATCGAGGACAGTGGACACAAGAAAGGCTGTATATATGTATTTTATTATATCAATTATTACTTTATTATCAATTATTACTTTATTAGAAAACGGAAAGCAAGCTTTTAGGAACGGTAGTGCTAGGGTCCGGCTGTTTGCACAGATGTCCGCGTGTGCACTCCGTCTCCCCCACACACACATCCCGCGCCCGCCTACGTGGGGCTAGCTGCCCGTCTGCATATGGGAGTCCTCCGCTTCTCACGCGCATGCACACAGCAAGCAGCTACAGCAGGTGACTATAGTAGGTGGCTACGCTAACATCTAGAAGAGAGGGAGGGGGCGGCAGATGCCCAGCCGGTGTCGAGAGGTGGAGGAGGAGACACCGAGGCGAAGGTGAGGCAACAAAAAAGCTAAGACAGCGATGCAACACCCAATCTACTTTTGAAACATCTGGATGCAACACCTACAACATACGTCTGAAGACAGATGAAACACATGAAACATGCATCTGAAACACTAGCTGCAACACCAGATCTACTTTTGAAACATCTAGATGAACATACTTGCAACATACGTACGAAACAGTTGAAACACTCGAACACATGCGTATGAAACACTTGCGAATAAAACACATAAAAACACTTCATATGTGTGAAAACATATGCAACATCCCAATGAAAACACTTGCAAACATACGTATGGAAAACGAGATGAAACATTTGGAACATACACTTGAAACATACGTGTATAGCCACTTCAACATGTGCAACATTCCGATCTACTTTTGCAACATCAAGATGATACACTTGCAACATCCAGATGAAACATCTGAAACGCTAAAACATACTCTTGCAACATGGACTTTGCTTGGACGAATGGAGGCACACCGGCTCAGGAGGTCAACAGCGGCGCATGGACCTCGCTGTGCGGCAGCGGCACGAGCAACTCGCCGACGGGCGCGGCGTCACACGGATCTCGTCCCCCTAGCTTGCTTGCTGGAGCATCCGTCGTGGAGGCCCGTTGGCTCGATGGAGGCGGTCCCGGCGAGCGGGTCGGGCCGCAGTGAGGAGGCAGCGAGATGGAGGCGAACGATGCAAGCTGGGCCCAGTGGGGAATGTGGCGCGGAGGAGGCAACACAGGGAGGCAGGGCGGAGGAGGCCACAGGGGATGGGTCGAGGCGCGGCGTTGTGGGGGACCGACGGTGGCGGCGAGTGTGAGTGGGCGGATGGACACGACGACGTAGCAAGGAAACGGCACAGCGAGCATCG